AGAAAAGCAGAGAGAGAGCCACCATGGAGCTGCCAGGTCAGACATGCTGAATCTTTTCTGGTAAGCCATGACCTCGTGGTATTATACAGATTATTAAAAATGGGTTAAATCAAGATGTGAGAGTTAGCCAATAAGAGGTTAGACATAATGGGCCAGGCAGTGATTTAATTAATACAATTTCTGTGTGGTTATTTCGGGTGTAAGCTAGCCGGGTGGCCGGGACAAACAAAGGGCCCTCACTCTCCTTGCAACACTTACCATCCAGTGTAAGAGGTCAAATGTTAACTATACAGGTTGCAACTCGTTTAAATCCTCTTAGTCTCCCTTCATGTCAAGAACATGAGTGGCAGATGGGCTGAAATGCAGGCCTGGTTTTATGTTTCATGGTTTTAGATAGGTTCTTATGCAGCTCAGGTTATTATAGACCTGAGAATAACCTTGGACTTCTGATCCTCATACCTCTGTGCTGGGATCACAGGGATTTGCTACCACATCTGGTACTTATGCAGCGATGGCTGGGGCTGAAACCCAGGGCCTCCTGTATACTAGGGAGGCGTTCTATCGACTGAGCCCCATCTTCGTGGGTACATATGTGAATTGCCATACATTTATTGATGTATTAATGCCAAACAATAATTTTTTTCTTTTAAAAATGTATTAGAGTTACATGTATATACCAGAGTATGGGTGTGTGCATGTGAATACAGGTGCCTGTGGGGACCAGAGGCATCAGCACTCCCTGGAGTTACAGGTGATTAATAAGCTCCCATGCGCAGGTTCTCAGACCCCCTGCAAGGACAGTCAGTCCTCTGACCCCTGAGCCATCTCTTCCTTCCCCAGATATACTGATTTCTAAGTGTGGAACTTGATGAGTTTTGACAAATATTCATGATAAACTCACTACCCGAGTTAAGATAGCCCCCAACTTTCATGTGCTTCCCAGTGAACATAGACACATGAAAAGTTCAAAGGCTGAGTTGTGGTTAAGAGTACCAGTTCTGTGGGGCTGCTCCCTAGGGTGCTGTGGCTGAACATCTGGACACAGCTGTTGCTTCCCGAGTCTGCTCTAGACAGGTCTGCCCTCCTCAGGATACATGGTGCTGAGTTGTCAATGCGGCTGAGGCCTCATTCACTGGCCTCCTGGATTCTCATTTGGACCTTCCTCCTTGCCCTTGGTTCTCACATACAGGACTCCTCTTTCTGGTCAACCAGCTGCAGTGAGAGGCTCTCTAGCGAGGGCCTATAGATAGATACCAGGAAAGAAGAGGCAGTGCGGCCATAAGAAGCCCCCCACCATCCGTCATGGCTGTGCAGACCCAGTCACTAGGGCCCCACCATGAAGAGGGGATGACATTTTTAAAATACTTATTTTTACTTTGGGTTTAATATTTTTTCTGTTTTGCGTGTTTGCTTGCAGATTTGTATGCAGTGAGGGCAAGCAGGCAAAGAGCAAAAGCTTTTTTTTTTTTTCTTTTTTTTTTAGCTTTTGTCTTCTGTGTCCCTTTATATAGACTGCCTCAGGAAGGTGTGGCCCAGATTTAGAGTGGGCCTTTTTCCCTCAAATGAGCAGTAAAGAAAATCCTTTACAGGTATGCCCAGCTGCTGGGGTCTCAGTTGATTCCAGATGTGGTCGAGTTGACAACAGATTAAGCCATCATAAACTGTAGCTCCACGCTGCTCAGGACCCCTCCCCCTCCTCGGCTGCCACCATCCAGCTTTCTGGTTCCTCTCATTTTGATCACTTTAGCTCTTCCATGGTGTTTGTTGTTTTACATGTTTGCTTTACAAATAATGGCTAGGATCCTTAACTATACTTACTACAGAAAGTAGGCAAAGGTTCATCTACTTTGCTTTCTGTCACCTAGAGAGGACTTGAGCAAATTATTCTTGCAAAGGTTTCAGTCTTCCACAATTGTCTCATTTTATAAGAAAATACTTTCCTTAAAAGTTTTTTTTGTTTTGTTTTGTTTCTTAAAGAGGAGTTCAAGTTTCTGTGGTCTGGAGTACAACACAGGTTTAGGAATAGCAAGGTAGAGGAACTGGATTCGGGGGCTGAGAGTCTCTCTCAGCTTTTGGAAGCCCACCTCTGGGCCTTTGAGGGAATCAACTCCAGACCTCCCTTGGTGAGAGGGAACCAGGCTTCATGCCTGTGGCCAGAAAAAATTGCTTCAGAGTCTTTCTGGGGCAGTTGGCAAGCTGCCAGAGGGGAAAGGACGGAAAACCCTTGGTTAAACAAACACTGTGTGTTCGCATTTCATTGTGAGCAGTTGAAGCGGCTTAGTCAGCAGAATTGGTTCCATATGTTTAGCGTCTCCAGGCCAGGCATGAGTAGTTGCATCTCTGAAACACGGCAGATCAGATGTTGGTGCTGTGGAAAGACTCCCTGCCATTCTGCTTGTCTGTTCACGGCAGATACTGCCACGTTTACCCCCAGCACCGACTCCAGCCATCCGGAGACGGATGCTGCTCCAACGCAGTGAGTTCATCAGAAAAGTCACCAGAAGAGATTTCTCAAAATCTCCGTACCCAAACTGTACCTCAGCCATAAAAGTTTTAAAACCTTCCCTGGAAGACTCCGGTGTTCCGCCAGGGTTGAAAACATGGTAGGAAGGTTGGGGAGGATGGTGAAAGGTTGCAGTAAGATTCTGGAATGTTCTTCCCGGCTGCATTGGTATCCTCCTACAGAGAGAGCCTAGGAGTTGGGGGTCTGCTTGAGAAGCTGGTATTGAAAAGGACTTCTGCTGAGAAGGAGCCAAATACCCAGAGGCAGGCAGGAGACATCATGTCCTTTGGGTCAAAGAGCAAACATGTTTCTCTTTTTTTTCCCCCATCCACTTTAGCCCAAAGGAATGTGTGGGGCAAAGGCAGTGGGATGTCACCCTGGTAAGTTCTTTACACTTGGGGCAGGGCTTTGGGACCCTTTCAACCCTGCAAGCCAGGTTCACAGAGGATAGGTAGCTTGACTGGTGGACTGGGGTCCCTGCCTGTTCTTCCAGACCTACTACTCTTCATCCCACTGAGCTGTAGTTGCAATAGGTCACCTGTCAATAAATGCCATGGCGCTCTGGCTCCAAGTAATCTCATATGCCGCATAGTGGTTGTTTATCTATTGTTTAAATGTTAAAGTCGCGGCCCGTTTGTCATCTGACATGCTGTGCCGGACTGGGTCCGTGTGAAAATCTGTCCCTACCTCCAACCTGTTTCATTTTCTTCCCACTCTGCGGGGAGCTCTGGACTTTCACTGTTGCCGGGGCTTTTTGCCTCCTGCTGTGCCACAGCTGTGAACCCTTGCAAACACGTGTGACCACTGGCCACTCATTCCCCTCTCTTCAAGCTGTGCATCCCCATTCCCATTCCCTCCAGTGCTGACTCAAGGTCAGGGGCTGTACACTTACACACAAGCATAGCCCCCGAGCCTTTCTTTGGTTTCTCGAACGGCATCTTGTTCCTATGATCTGAGGGCAGTCTCTCTGGTGCAGATAATGATTACCATGTACAGTTTAGGACTGGTCAGGTCAAGTGATCGCTGATAGAAGTTTATATTTTTCCAGCTCCTTTTCTTGAGAATGTGTCTTATATATCTCAAGGCCAGTTTCTGACTCTCACTATCTAGCCAAGGATGACCTTGAACTTTTGATCTTCCCACCCCACCTCTCCCTCCAGCTGAGTGCTGGGGGAGGCCTGCTACCAGGTCCAGCTGTGTGCAGGGCCAGGGAACAAACTCCCGTGAGGCCAGCACTCTACCACTCAAGCTACCTCACCAGCCCCATGTTGTTATTCTTGTTTTTTAAGTCCAGAATCCTTTGTATTTGCATAAAGCCAAGCCACACCAAGTGGAAAATTTTTACCTTCGTTTTTTTAACAAAAAGGCATGGAATCCTCCCAGGTCCACAATTAGCGATACACACAGAATGGGAAGAAACTTGGTGATCCACTTTCTGGTCCCTTTCTCCCAAGGAAGGCAGGAGTCCTGGATATGTAGGCCTTCCTGGGAACAGCAGGACAACAGATCATACGACAGGGGGGCCACACGGCTGGAAGGAAAACGGAGCATGCTGAGGTAAAGCATCCTATGGTCCAGTCATGCTACATCTGACCCTGCGCATCTGTGGAGTGGACAGCAAAGAACAGCTAGGGGCTCGAGAATGAGCCGCCATTCGTGAAACCTCCTTTGGGCCCCCTGACGTTGGGATTAAATTATAGAGCCTGCAGCTGAGAAAGAGTAGAAAGAACAGGCCACAGGTTCCCTAGCCTGTACTTCAGGCTCATTCTTACTCCACCATCTGGGCCATTCCCAAACCCCATATGGGCCAGGAGTGCCATTCCCAAACCCCATCTGGACCAGGAGTGCCATTCCCAAACCCCGTCTGGACCAGGAGTGCCATTCCCAAACCCCATCTGGACCAGGAGTGCCATTCCCAAACCCTAAGTTGCCTGGGTTGTGAACCAGATTGATGGTATATAACACACCACGGTGACGGTAGCGAGAGCAGGCTCACTCACCAGAACGCTCTGCCTTACAGGGCTGCTGTCCTGCTCAGCCCACAACTTAGAGAGACCAGATCCAGGAAGTCTGCTGGCTGTCCCCAACTACCCACTATCCTGGGGCCTTCAGGGTCAGCTTCCTTCTTCCACCTTAGACTGTGGTCACTGGGCTTCAAGAAAATCAAGATGAGGTTCCTGTTAGGAAAATCTTGTAGAGGGACCTACAACTTATAACCCTGGAGAGATGAAGACCCCTGAAAGCCAAGAGTCTAGAGCAAAGCATGATTCATGGCTGTCAGGTACTTGGCCATGGTGCAGCATTTTGCTATGTACTGTCCCGAGTGGCTCTCACTGATTGTTCTTAGAACTTGTTTTCCCAAGACTTCAGAAACTGCTGCTTCAGAGGGCCACCAAGACAGAATTCAGAGGAAAACCAATGACCAGCGTATCAGGCTATATACGGAGAGTGCATCCCAACTCTTGACTCCGTGGTCCTCTCTTCCCCTGGGTTTCAGAGACATCAGTCCATCCTGCATGTCAAGACAGTGGCAGACTAGGTGGACTTCAGTCTGCTGGAACTAGAGTGCTGAGCTGCCGACTGACCACTGAGCAAGCATCCCTGTCCACCAGTCTTCACGCACCGTGCTCACCAAATATTCTTGGTCTTAATTGTGAGTTCCGTTAGTTCATCATGCGGAATATACATTGTTTGCCAGTATCACAATTCCAGGTCTGCGGAATATACGTTGTCTATTGTTATCACAATTTTAGGTCTATCTTGAGTCTTCACAAAGTACCTGAGTGTCTGAGCCACTGCAGACGCCTGTTCCAGAGGCATGACACCCGTCCCAGCAATGACCTCCTAGCCAAGGCAGTGTCGATGCCTGAGCTGCCTGTCTTCCCTGTCCACTCTTTAGAATGCTGTACAGTCTCACGGCCATGTTCCATAGAGGTTCACTGTGTATCAGCTCTAGATCACATATGATGCAGGACTCTGAGGATGCCACCTATAGCCTCTGAGGAAGCCACAGGCAAGTGTGTTCAGAAAAGCAAAGTTAACCCACATGGACAGTGGACGTCGTACCTAACCAGTTTAGCAATGGGACCATTAGCTATGGCTTCATCACATCCCACAGGTTTGTATCTGTACTGAGCACTGGGAAAAGGTGATGGTGACTATGGATTCTAGTCAAGGGCTAGGTGGTGACTGGAAACACAAAGGCACTGGGCAGTGGGGCTTCCCTGTCGAATGCTGGGACAGGGTGGGACTGTTCGGCCACCGCAACCGCTGGAGGGGCTAGGCAGCCAGTGTCGGAACTGAGCTAGCCAGAGGCTGTGGATCCAAAGCTGCGTAGTAGCATGCACTACAGACAAAAAGTTCCATCTCATAGGGCAGGGAACCCTGATTGCTCTTTGGGCTGACGAGGGAGGGGGACTTGTTTGGGGGAGGGGGAAGGAAAGGGGAGGCGGCGGTGGGGAAGAGACAAATCTTTAATTAATTAATAAAGAAATAAATAAATTAAAAAAAAGTTTCATCTCCCACTGCCTGCTTATCCAGTCCACACAATAGAACACCTCTGGGAGGAGTGGGCAGGGTGTGATTGCCTATGCAGTCACCCAAGTGACAGCCGGCGGCAACCCACCTTTCCACATGTGCTGTGTGGGGAGGAGAAAATTCACACGAAGCTGCCAGTGTGAGCTGTTGCTATAGCTCTCAACCGAACATTCTTCAACAGTTATCTCCAAAATGGAAGTCATCCAGTATGCCCACATTTGCCTCCATTTCCTTGAGGTTAACAGGAACATGTTAATGACAGTTTTAAAGGCTCGCTACAGAACCCGTTCTTTTTGTCTGATCTCATCCTCCCACCATCAGGCCACCAGAAATAATCCTGACAGGATTCTACTTCTGCAGCAAATTAAAGAGGGCAGCAAAGGGGCATTCTGTAGAATGCCAAAACAGCCGCAGGGGTGGAAAACTGGCAGCCGACAATGCATTCTGAAGGCTGGGGATTGGACTCGGTTGAGTGCTTGCCTAGCATGCAAGATTCTACAGCGCCACATAAACTGAGCGTGGTGCCCAAGCCTGTGATCCTAGCACTTGGGAGGTTCAGAAGTTCAGGGTCATCCCCAACAACAAGGTCAGCCTGAGTTATGGGAGACCCTGTCCAGAAAGAAAACGAAAATGTACTATTCTCTTGACCTTGGGTTCGGAATCTCAGACCGTTTCTGTTTTGCACACCCACTCCCTTTATCCATATTGAGGAGTATACGTTGCTCAGTGATAGGGCAACATTTACACATGTGGCTGGCACCACTGCCGCACCCCAAAGTTGTACAGTCCACATCTCACCAGCCACAAAGAGAGGCCTGGCCTTCTCTTTGTTTTAATTAGCTCAGAACAAAAGGAGAAAATAATAGAACACTCACTGTTTACCGCGAGCCACACATGGTGATATGTAACTCCTTTGTTCCTAATGGCAGCCCCGGGGATACCACATTTGCCATCCCCGTTTTCTCTGGGAGGAAGTGGTGCACAGCAGCTCAGCTAAGGCTGCCGTCGCCCCGTTAGCTTTAGGACCCTCTGCTGCTCTCTTTGCTCTTGGGGCAAGTACCTTACTCCCTACGACTGGACTATCGGGCAAGTCTTGATGCCAAGAGGTTGTCTAAGTAGGTGCTGGCAGTCAACTCCTTTAGGCATCTTCTGGGCAGCCACACATGGAGATCAGTGTCGTCTAGGCCATCTGGGGTATGGAAAGAGTGCGGGTGGATTGTAACTACTGTTGGCTTAGGGGTGGTCTCAGAGATGGGGGGGGGTCTTCCCCAACTCACTGAGCGCTTGTTCAGTTACAACAGCATGGTAACAAGAGGTTATCTTCCAGGGTTGGGACTGCTAGGTAGTTTCCATTTTATGTCAGATTGCTTTGATATATGTGAAGATTGTTATAACAACTTGTGGTACCTTTAAGCTTGAAGAGCTTGGTGTTGAGGGATAAACTACATAAAAGGAAGTTAATACCTATTTCTTCCACTTTTGAGTTTTGCCTATTGCGCTTCCTTTGCCTAGTGGCTGTGGATCAAGATGTGAGCTCTCAGCTTCTTTTACTCTACCATCGTGGACTCTAACCCCCTGAAACCCTAAGCCCAGTTAAATGCATTCTTTGATCTTGGTGCTTTGTCACAGCAGTAGAAAAGTAGCTAAGATAGGATCCCTTAGCCTTTTAGTAAGTGAGGTCAGGTGTTGCAAGGGAACACACAGGGCTCAATGATCCCAGCTTTTATCAGTCTTTCAATGACAGGTTTTAGTCATGACCTCCCTTTGAAAGAGATGGAATGAGGTGCTGTCCTTCCTGTGCTTCCTGTGGTTTTTAGAGTGATATGGATTGGAGGGCTCTTTAAGCCTCCTCTGTTTCCCTTCTTATTTCAAACCTTGGGAAAATGTCCTTTTCACCTGTGAGGTCAAGAGGTTTAGGAGACGTGGCTCTGCTTCTTAGTGACTGCAAAGAGTCACCTTGTTAGTGACTGCTAGCCCTACGCCTAACCTGGACACGAAGCTCCACCCTGTTAGGTTAATCCTGGCCTCAGGTACAAATGGGAAGCTTTTCTAGTCACTCTTTCCTGGACTCACACTTTGACTTCTTTAAAACTGAGGGCTCAGGCTCACCTTTCAACACTGAAATGAGTAGTCGCTCTGGAGAGAGTTTGAGTCCAAAGGGTTCTATACAAAGAGAGGACCTACTTGTACCAGAGTTAACCAAGAGGTCATTTCTAATTACAAACAACTCTAATTAAATATAATTAGAACTCTGATTTCTTTAGGCTCACTAGAGGCTCTTGGTAGGGTCCATCAGTATACACCAGCCCTGATATCCCGATTCCTCTTTGAAAGCAATAAAGAACGTCAGCTTTTCTTCCCTTCTCCCATTCAGGGGTCCCCTTTTGAAGTGGCGCATCCTCCACACTTGTAGCCTTGTCATCGCCCTTATTTATGGGTTTGTATTATGTCATCCTTTCCTGGGGTGGCCCGGTAGGAAAATCTTGGGTCTGGAGAATTGAGATTCGTTCTTTCCCTGAACACATTATCCTACTGTTGAAAGCTTAAGTTTATCCTTTTGCTTTTGTGTTTCTTCATCCTTTATTTATTTTTTTTCTCTTGGTTTTTCAAAACAGGGTTTCTCTGTAAAAAGCTCTGATTGTCCTGGACCTTGCTCTGTAGACTAGGCTGGCCTCGAACTCACAGGACCTGCCCGCCTCTGTCTCCTGAGTGCTGGGATTCTTTGTCCTTTCTTATATTCACCTTTTGGGCTTCCCCAAGTAGCCATTCTAGCCCTCTATATTTCCAGTTCTCTATCTTTTGTTATTTTTTTAGACATAACTAGCCAACTGCTAGTCCCAAAATGTAATTTAAGTATTATCTGGCCAAGGAGATTATAATAGTTCCTTTTCTGTTTCTGCAATCAAGTTACACAGCCAAAGCAAGTTATAGAGGAAGAGTTCTTTCGGTTTATGGTTTCAGAGGCTTAGAGTTCATATTGGCACAGTGGAGGAGGCAGGCAGACACGGAGACTGGCGCAAGATGCCCAAAGCTCACATCTTGAACCACAAGCGCAAAAACAGAAAGCATACCAAAAAAAAAAAAAAAAGATGAACCATATTGCTCTCAAAGCCCGCCCCCAGTGACACACCTCCTCCAGCATGGCTACTCTAAGCCCTCCCCAAACAGTGCCACCAACTGAGACCAAGTGCTCAACTCTCTAAGACTAGGAGAGCCCAGTGCTCATTCAGACTGCCACAGGGATCCTCTGGTTTGCTTCAGAGCATTTTCTCGTCTGTTCCCTTGTTTTGCATTGGTACCTTCCTGGGATGGCCCAGTGGGAAGATTTTAGATGTTCTCATTCCCAAATAACCAGTGCGGCCCCTGTAATCATTGTCCCTTCATCCCCTGAGGACAGAATGCTCAGAATAGCCAATAGCAGCCCAGGTATAGAGCAGGCTCTCTAAGAATGGCCTGACTGGCCTGCCACCCCAAAGCGTCCTCTAATAAAGTCTTAGGTTCACTTTTTAGAGTTCTGGCCTCAGTGCTAGTTAGTGAGACATTAACAAGCCGGTTTGTTCCTCTCCTGGGGGACCTCCCTTATGGGGAAATAAAGTTAAGTGTTTCTCCTGGAGGACTAGGAAGAAGGTGAAATTTTAGAGTTTTCTTTCACGTTGTTCAGTTTCTCTCCTTAGCTGGGGCAGGGAGGGGTACACTGAGCAAGGTGGGGGAGCTTCTGGCCTGGTCAGAGGGCTCAGTTCCTCTGCTTTCTGCTCAGTCCGTCCAAGCAGAGGGGCTGGAGTTTCCCCCGAGGGGCGGTCAGTGAGCAAGCGAGCCCTGTTTGGATTTGGTCAGGGCTGGCCTGACTTGTGAATGAAGCTTGTTTGGCATGTCTGTATGAGGACAGAAGAAGGACCCCTTCTCTAAGGTCTCATGAATTACCACTCCTAAAACCAATTAACCCTGTCATGATGACGTGCTCATCTGTCTAGAGGAATAGGCTCACAGCTAGCGGCCAGCTGAGCCATGAAGCCCTGTGTCATTTCTACCCCTATGAAGATTTCAAGCTAAGAAAAAGTAGAGAGTCTTTCGATATTAGTGGATATCAGGGTTCAGTGGGCACCTCCTGAGGGGTTCCAGGTTATTAAGACCCAGAATGAGGAACTGGAGATACTTGGATGGCAGCAGAAAACAGGGACAGTTTATTAGAAAATAATTTATTTCCAAGAAAGGAAACTGAGCTGGAAATGCTGGAGCAAGAAGAAGGTTTAGAAGCTCAAATAACCACAGCGGTGGCCACACCAAATACGAGATGGGGGCTTTCATGTCATATGATGCAGGCTTTTGGGGCCGTCTACATACAGTGGGCTTTCTCAAGCATTTTGTGACATGTATTCTGTTATAGAAACGAGGGCCTGGAGAGATGGCCGAGGGGCTGAGAGCACTGGCTGTTCTTCAGGGGACCTGGGTTCATTCCCAGCACCCACATGGTGGCTCACAACGGTCTGCAACTCTGGTGCCTGAGGATCTGACGCCTTCTTCTGGCCTCCACAGGCTCTACATACGTAGCCGTACATGCAGGCAAAACACCCATACATATAAAAGTTTAGAAAATAAATAAAAATAAAATGTGGGAATGAGAAGTCACTCTAGTGAATCTTCCCGGTGAGGAATCGCTCGCGTACTTAGAGATTAATTAAGAAAGGGCTCTTTTTTTTAATTTTTTTTTTATGGTTTATTTAACTTTATTTTATGTGCACTGGTGTGAAGGTGTCAGATCCCCTGCAACTGGATCTTTAGACAGTTGTGAGCTGCCATGTGGGTGCTGGGAATTGAACCCGGGTCCTCTGAAAGAGCAGTCAGTGCTCTTAACCACTGAGCCATCTCTCCAGCCCCAAGGAAGGACTCTACTTACGCGCCTGGCCAGCTGGGCTCACACCCAGTAAGAGTCGCCCCCAACTGAAGATCTCATTCACTTAGCTACACCTCAAGCTTATGCTTCTTACTTACTTTGTCATCCTTAAATCTCTTCTTCAGGTCCAGGTCCCAGGTTCCTCCAGACAGTTTAATGGATCAGGAGACTGCAAGTCTGGTCTCGGAGGCAGATGAGGGATGTCTCATGTTCCCAGACTTATTTTAAGTGTGCCAGTATTGTTCTTTTTCAAATAGTTGATACCCAGGGCTATCTTGCCCACCTCATAGGATTATGTATTTTCTGATACGAGCAAAAGAAACTTAATGATGGTTGTGTCCCTACACCTGCCCCTCCCACCCCCATGCCTGTTAGAGGTATGTCTTTGGTATGGGATTCAGGGCCTAATGACTGGTCATAAATCAGTACTGTCTCCCTTGTCCTGGGAATCAGGGCCTAAATGCCTGTCAATTCTGGTGAGTAAGTATTTACATCCTAGGTGTGTGTGTGTGTGTGTGTGTGTGTGTGTGTGTGTGTGTGTGTTTCTAAATACATAAATGCATCCTGCTTAGTTTGTATAATGTTACTATATGTTATCAGGATTGACCATTTAGTATAGGATATCCAATTTGTGTATTCTGACTGAGTATTTAATATGATTTGTACAATTCAAGCTTAACTGGGTCTGTCTTACTTTTCTATTGATGCTGTAAGACACCATGACCAAGGCAACTTCTAGAAGAAAAAGTTTATTTGAGGCTTAAAGTTCGGAGGGCGATTCCACAACCAAAAAGATGGCGAGCATGGCTGCAGGCAGGCACGGAGCTGGAGCAGTAGCTGAGAGGCGGAGACCCCCC